ACCGTCGCCAGCGTGAGTTTGCGCTGAAGCACATGCCGGACTACCCGCTGTTCAAGCTGACGTCAAACCTCTACGAGGTCGTGCCCGCCGTGCTGGCCAAGACCGGCAAGGTGGGGGGCGCGGCTTGATGTGGCGCGCTCGTGCGATTGGGGCAAAATCAGGGCGTCAGGATGCCGTGGGTGCTTGCTTGCGCACGCTAATGCTCGTGTGCATGCACGTGGCACGTCCATGTGTCGCACACACACAGGCATGTTTGGCTGATGTCGGTTGCTGCCGGGGGCCCGGGGCCCTCACTGACAGTCGTGGTGTGTGCGGTGGGCTGTGAGAGGGCGGTCATTGTTGCTGCCGGGCGAGGCGCACCGCTGATCCCTCAAGCCCTCCCCCCACCAGCCGGCCCCGCCCTGACCTTCACCCCCTTGGCCACCCCCCAGGTCAAGAACCCGTGGCCCAACGTCGACGCCCACAGCGGCGTGCTGCTGCAGTGTGAGTGTGCCGCGCAGCGCCACCAGCCCCGGGCGCCCCACCCCCACCGCCGCCGTCGCCCGGGCCTTCGCGCCTCCCCTCTCTCCCACTTGTCCGTGATACAGTGTGATCGGCGCAAAGTGCTTGTCTGCGCGCTTGTCCATCTTTGTCCCTGGGCTCCCCTTGACGCCTTCTTCGTCTTCCTCCCCCCACCATCGGGCGTGTCACCCTCTGTTGTGTCATCCCCTTTAACGTCACCCTGTGTCACCCCGCCTTACCCCATGTCACCCCGCAGACTATGGCATCACGGAGGAGGGCTTCTACACCGGTGAGAGTCCCGAGGGGGGCCATGATATGAGGCAGGGGTGGATGTTGGAGGGGGCCGCAGCCAAACACGCGCCAGGGGCCGGGGCAGCTCACCAAGGATAGGCGGCCGGCCAGCCGTGGGGTGCACCCCTCGCCAAGACCCCCAGCGCGCTCAAGCCCGCCCCTTGGCCCCGCCCGCCCCTCGGCTGCCTCAACCCTCCGCACACCGCCTTGCACGCGTCTTCTGCCCCCTTCTAGTGACAACCGCTGCTGCTGAACCCCCCTCGTCGCCCCGCCACCAACCCCCCGCGCCCCTGCCCCCCCCCCCCCCCCCCCCAAGTGCTGTTTGGCGTCAGCCGCGCGCTGGGCGTGCTGTCGCAGCTCATCTGGTCGCGCGCCCTGGGCCTGGCCATCGAGCGCCCCAAGTCCTTCACAATGCAGGCTCTTGAGAAGAAGTGCGCCCCCGCACCGGCACAGGCCGCGTAGGGCGATGCGCCCAGTGAACTGCGAAGCACTCTGTACTCTCGCCTGGGCGGGCCCGCGGGCCGGCCTTTGAAAGCGCGGCGGCAGGCCCCGCGCGAGCGCAGCCACCGCCCGTCGCCTTTGTTGAACGGTCCCCGGCCCTGTGTGGCGGCCTGCTTGGTCCTGTTTTCGCTGCCCCCTTGGGCGGCTGCTCAGCTTGCTCCAGCCGTCCCACCCCACACAGCATGTATGCTATGCTGCCGCGCCGCCTGCGTAGGCCCTTGCACCCCGCTGTGTCTTATTTACACGCCTGGACCAACACGGGTAACTGGTTTTGCTCTCGAACTCAATCGCTTTACAACTCAACTCAGCAGCGGCTTGGGCAGCGACATGCGGCGGCCGCAACATGCCAGCAGGCCGACATCGACACAGACTCCAAGCTCAGGGCCGGCCCGCCCGCCGCATGACGAAGCCGGGCCGCCCGCTCAATCCCCATCGCCTGGGTGCATGTGACGGCCGGCTCCTTCGTTTGTAGGTGGGGGCCGAGCTATCGCGCCTTGGCAGCAGCGGCGGCGGCGGCATCCCCCGCGCCCGCGTCCGCGCGCAGGTGGGCAAAGGCCGCGACCGTCCGCCTGACGCCCTCCTGGAGGGGCGTGGCCGGCGTGTAGCCCAGCAGGCGGCGTGCCTTGGCGCTGCTGAACGCGCGCTGGCGCGTCACGATGCGCACCCTGCGGCGTTTGGGGGGGGCAGGAGGGTGTGCGGGGCAAGGGTCAGGGGACAGGAGAGGTGGGTGATGAACTAAGGGAGCGTCCGGCGGGCGGGAGGAGCAGCAAGCCGCCTCTTCGCCCAGCGCAGGGCGACAAGGCCTCGCGCCTGGCACCTGCCACTGCTCCTTGCCTGCACCCACTCCAACTGTACAGCGCCCGGCGTGCTTGGCATCTCACTGCCCAGTCACCTGTAC